GTGTGGCCTTGAGAAAGTCATCCTCCCCTGTGAGCCTCATGCCCCTCAGTCAAGAAATGAGTGCAGTAACGCCCCTGCCTGGCTGCTGATGAGGTGAAACAAAATGAAGCAGTATAAGCACCTAGTGTTGCATGGTCATGTCTAGGCAGAGGTGGGGTCCAGAGGATGGTGTTGGGATCAGAGATCTTAGAACTCAAGGTCAAAAGTACTTTTGAGCCACCCTTGTCCAGATAACTCCACTTCCGTCCAGCCACCCTGGAGCCCCTGACCCTAAGTAAATAGTGTGGAGGTCAGGCATCCACAGTTTAAACAAATTTATTAGATGGTTTTATTTAATCTCTTTCTTTAAAAAGCTATTTCCCAAGCAGAAAATTTCAACAAACTGAAAAGATATGAAATGGAAGAGGAAAATAAGTTGGGTTCATTTCACGAGTAGCTTTGAATGCATCCTTCTCCTTCTCAGGACCATAGGCTCCCCAGTCTTCCCAGCAAGGAGGTTAAGTTGAACTCTAAACTCTCCTGTGGCTTTGATGTCGGTTATGTTTGCAATGTGGTTATTTGAACCTGAAGTTGTCATCCAAAGAGAGGCGCTGATATAAGTCTAAAAATTTGTGAAGTCAGGACTTACTGTGAATTTGAATGTCAGGAGTCAACTTACACTGGCTCCCAGGGCAGATATTTAAAAAATAAACTAATTTATTTTAATCAAAGGCTAATTACTTTACAATATTATAGTGGTTTTTGCCATACATTGACATGAATCAGCCAAGGGTGTACATGTGTTCCCCATCCTGAACCCCCCCCCCCCAAGAGCAGATCTTTATAAAGAGGGAATGGCCTGTGCAGAGGGCCAAGGCAGCAATGAATTTGATATTTTACTGGAAAAGAAGGAAGACAGTAGGGCCATGGAGAGAGAGGAAGGTGAGTTTGGGGTGATAGTGAGTAGATGACAAAGGGCCATGTTGGGACTTTGGTTTAAAGTGAGAGGTTTACCTTCTGGCAGCCGCACTGAGAGTAGAGGGGTTGGGGGCAAGTGTGCAGAGGGATACTGCATATACTGGATATATACGGAGGGAGACGATATTCACTCTCAGGAGACACCCTACTGACTAAGTGGAGTGGGCAGATGGGGAGGTGGGTCCTGAGCAACCTGTCATTGCAAATATTTGTCCTGAGATTGCTTCCACTGTGAGGGATGTTATGGAGAGTGCTCAGACACACGAGAATGTTTGGGAAGAATGACCTCACTGGTCACTGACCCTGATGCTCTGGGCCACAAGTCTAGCCCCATCTCTATCCCTCTCCTTCAGGCTGGCTGCTTTCCCTCTCTCAGTCTGAGCTTCCAAGTGCTGATAAAATTAAGCTGGATGATCACTATGATCACTGTCACCAAAATATTCTCCAATTCATCTCTGTTTTTACCTCTGCCCCCTACCTGCATGGCCACCATCTTGGTATCTGGAGGCTCCATGAGAACCTGCTCTTAGTCTTGGCACAAAGTCCTCTCTATAGCCATCCAATTCAAGCATCCTGGCTGACCTTTGCTTTGGAAGTCTTTCTGTTCACTCTGGACAGGGCTTATTTTCATTGGAGTCCCCTTGGATGGCTCTGGACACAGAGCTTGTTTCCGGGGGCAGCCTCCCACCCCATCGCCATCAATATAAGTTACGGGCCATCACCACCCAGCATAATTCCAGAAGACTCTGCAGAGGAGCAAGGATTTTGTAAGTATATTTCTTCAAACCTGCGACTGGTGGGTTTCCCTCTTAATGTCAGTCCACATGGAGGCCTACAGAATGTTTTGGGGACAAGAGGCATAGGGGTGAAAGTGAAGGTATTAGTTACTCAGTCGTGCTTGACTCTTTGCAACCCCATGGCCTGTAGCTCACCAAGCTCCTCTGTCCATGGATTTCTCCAGACAAGAATCCTGGAGCAGTTTGCCATTTCCTTCTCCAGGGGATCTCCTGAGCCAGGGATCGAATCCAGATCTCCTGCATTGCAGTCTTTACCATCTGAGCCAGCAGGAATCCCTTCAGAACACTATTGGGGGAAAGGCAGGGAACAGGACCTTTGAATTAACTAACATCTTGAATAGAGAAAATTAAGGAATAGATCCAGTAAGCAGAAGTGTCAAATTGATGAATGTAGTGTCATGATGTGGCGCCCACTTATATGTTCATACTTTTATTCCTCAAACATTATTTCGTTGTACTGTACTAAGTGTTTGGTAAAGAACCGGCCTGACAATCCTGGGGACATAAGAGACATGGGTTCAATCCCTAGGTCCGGAAGTTCCCCTGGAGGAGGACACAGCAACCCATTCCAGTATTCTTGCCTGGAGAATCCTGTGGATAGAGAGACTGGCAGGCATTGTCCATGGGGTCACAAAGACTCAGACACAACTGAGTGACTAATACTAACACTGTACTAGGTGTAGGTTTTTTACTATGAGTTGGGAATTAAACCATGAAATAAGTCACAATCCCTCCCCTAAGGAAATCACAGCCGGGTGGGAAAGGCAGTCAAGTCGTCACTAATTTTTACCCAGGACTCTGAACAGTGAATGCAGGCAGCAAGAAGGTGGAGAGGGGCCTAATAACCTAGGCTCTGGGGAGAGATCTAGAGGACATGATGTCCTACTGAAGCTGGAAAGTCAGTAAGAAATGTTTCAGTTTTAAATGAAAAGAAGAGGGAAGTGTTCCAGGCAGAGGAACCAGCATGTGCAAAGGACCTCTAGTAAAGAGAATTGACCTGGAGTCAAGCGTGACTTATCACATAGTAGTGCCTTCATTCACTGGTTGTTTGTCTCTGGGCAGGTAAGTTTCTCTGGCTTTTTGACCTAGGTTGCCCATCCATAAGAGAGGAGATAACCACGTCTATCTTCACGGAATGTTTAGTGTAAGAGTGATAGGTGCTCATCCAAGATCCCATTTCCCTGTGGGTAATTCTCACTCCTGTTCCTCCCATGACTGTCCAGGTGTCAGGACAAGATGTTTCAGCTTTGGAAACTTGTTCTCTTGTGCGGCCTGCTTGCCGGGACCTCAGCATCTCTTCTTGACAATATTGGCAAGGATGTTCTGAGGAAGCTGAAATCTGGTCTTGAGGAAGGACTTAAAAACCTTGACAGTACACTTGAAAGTGAGTCAACAACAGGGGTGATCAGTGGCACCTAGGAGCTTGCTTCCTACATACTATGTCTGTGTTAGCAAAGGCTGCCAGCAGGGGCTGCTCCTTAGGGGTGGTTTACTAAGGTAACTAACTGGTTCCTGGTTCATTTGTTTATTATTTTTCTAGAAACAGGTATTTCTTAAGTGAATATCGATTAACATCTTATCTCATCATAAAATTTGCTAATATATTTATTGGGTAAGATCCTCAAAATGACATTTCAAAAGTTCAAAAGGTATGCATATTTTAAATTGCAGCAGGTATTGACAAATAATTCCCTACGTTAATAGTTTCTCCAACCATCCGTGAGAGTATCTTTTTTCCTACTCTCTTGACAGCACTAGTTTGGACAACTGAAATTTGCCAGTCTCACAGATGAAACATTCTAAATGATCTCTTCATTTCTCTAATTATGAGTGAATTCACTCATTCTTCATATTTTATTAGCCATTTATGTACTGAAACTTAAATATTTAATTTATATTTGTAGCATATTCTTCTGTTGGGTCATTCAATTTTCTTAGTAATTTGTATTAACTAATTGCAAAAGGATTCCTACCTAGCCTAGGTAGCTTTAAAATTACCTACCTTTCTAGTGAATCATATTTCCTCGTACTTTTGATTTCTTGAAAGAACTTGGTCTTCTTTTCACTTTTTGGAAGCACATCGCTAAACATTCTTTATAGGAGAAACTAACTTCTGAAAATGACTCTCTTTCAAAACTTGCCAGAGCTTGAGAGTGACTGAGTGATAGTAACTCTGTCATGTCCAACTATTTTTGACCCCGTGGACTGTATCCTGACAGGCTCTTCTGTCCATGGAATTCTCCAGGCAAGAATAGTGGAGTGGGTGGCCATTTCCTTCTCCAGGGGATCCTCGCGACCCAGGGACTAAACACAGGTCTCCTGCACTGGAAGCAGATTCTTTACCATCTGAGCCACCAAGAAATCCTGGCAACCTGAAAGATACGGGAGGGACCCAATTTCCATTTTTACTGCTGATAAAACTGAGCTCAGAAGCAGAAGTGTCGACATCAAAGTCAGCTACTAAGATGTAGGGCCAGATGTAGTTTCCATCACTGCATCATTATAACTAGGTACTGTCCATCACCAAGTCACATTGCAGTACACTGATTACATACATTTTTTGAGCTTTTTCCTGCTCTTTGAACTAGTTCTTTCCTGTTTTATCTCATTTGAATTATTTTCTAGAGATTTTCTTAATATTTTTCAAATGTGCCATTCTACATCTGCCAAGTCACTTCCTTTCTCGAATCCCTCTATTCTCTGTCCATTAGGGCTCTCTGTCCTTGCTCTCCTGTATGAGTCACCTTTTTCTAGACCATATGCAAAGCTGCCATTCGGGGACTCCTATTTGCCACTTTCATGATTTAGATCCATATATTTTCTCTGACTCTAGATTTTCCATTTCTTATTCTATTCTAAGTTTACTTTGTTTAGAGGAGCAGCTCATTAGTGCTTCACTACTAGAAGTTAATGTGGAATCAATACCTATTGCCGGTTCAGTGGGTTGATTGCTCTGTTGATGAATGATGAGTATATATTAGAGTGAAGGCGGTGTGGAAAGAACAAGGTCTCCGAGCTGTGTGACTTTGGTCCATTTCTTAAACTTTTGATCTTTTATTTCCTCATCTGAAAGTGCAGATATTAGTAATACCTCCTCTGTGGAGTTGTTATAAGGATTAAATGATGTAACACAGGCAAATATTCTCATTTAGTACCTGGTGCCTGGGATCTTGTAAAACACACTAAATGGAGACTGTTTTTGCAGCTATTTTTCAGCAATTGAAGACTGATTTCACACTGCCCCAGAAATCCAGTACTGAGGAAGCCCAGGATAATTCCGAGGAAACCCCGGATAATCCCGAGGAAGCCCAGGATAATCCCGAGGAAACCCAGGATAGTACCGAGGAAACCCAGGATAGTACCAAGGAAACCCAGGATAATACTGAGGAAACCCAGGAAAATCCAGAGGAAACCCAGGATAATACCGAGGAAACTAAGAACTTACTGGAAAAACTCATTTCTGGAATTTTTCAAGTAGTGTACAGACTTACAGGGTGAGTTGATGCTTCATTTGGAGATATTTGTTCCCAGGAAAGAGAATATATCTCTTTGGGGACATAAGTTTAATATCAAAGGCAAAAAGTTGAATAAACTTTGCGTGTTCTTCCAGAGGGGTTCCTTGGTGGCTTAGTTTGATCCCTGGGTGGGTAAGATCCACTGGAGAAGGGACAAGCCACCCACTCCAGCATTCCTGGGCTTCCCTGGTGGCTCAGCTGGTAAAGAATCTGCCTGCAATGCGGGAGACCTGGGTTTAATCCCTGGGTTGGGAAGATCCCCTGTTTTGCAGAGCAGAAGTGGTCTGAGGCCAATTCTGCCAGAGTGTGGGAAAATTAGAGTCAAGTCTGTGGGGTCCATTTGGATCTCATGAGTTCGAGCGTTCTCCTTCTGTGATTTCAGGGTCAGGATGAAGTTTCTCTTCACCCCCACCTCTACCTGTTTGATGGTGCCTAAAGTTTCATTCTCAAGGAATAAGACATTTCTTCTCTGAATATAGCTGAGTATAAAAGTCTGAATGGTCTCAGGAGAGAGGAATCTAGAATTCACAGCACATAGGTGACCCCACACATGAAGGCTGGGCCAAGTCAAGCAGTTCTGGGTTCTAATTCTGGCTCTGCATTAAAAAGGAATGAAATAATGACACTTAAAGCAACAAATGGATGGATGTAGAGATAATCATACTAAATGAAGTTAAGTCAGAGAGAGAATGACATATATCACATATATCACAGATACCACTAATATATGGAAACCAAAACATGAGACAAAAGAACTTATACAAATCAGACTCTTAGAACATAAAAAAAAAAAAAAAACAAAGTCATGATTACAAAAATGGAAAGCAGTGTGGAGGATAAATTATGAGTTTGGCATAAATATATACACACTACTATATATACAATAGACAACAAGCAAGGACCCACTATATAGCACAGGGAACTATACTCAATATTTTGTGATAACCTATAAGGGAAAATACCTCTGTATCTATCTATCTGAATCATTTTTCTGTACATTTTCTTAACCTAATGAAAGTGAAAGTGATGAATGTGAACGAAACTAATGAAAAGTGAAAGTGTTAGTCGTTCAGTTGTGTCTGACTCATTGCGACCCCACGGATTTTAGCCCACCAGGTTTCTCTGTCCATGAATTCTCTAGGCAAGAATCCTGGAGTGGGTTGCCATTTCCTTCTCCACAGGATCTTCCCATCCCAGGGATTAAACCCGGGTCTCCTGCATTGCAAGCAGATTCTTTAACCTCTGACCCATCATGGGAGTCCCACACCTGAACCTAACACAACATTGTAAAGCAACTAGACATCAAAAAAAAAAAAAAAAGAACGCTGGCTCTGGCACATATTCACCCTTGGAGTCTTGAGGGAAATCACAGCTGTCTGATCCTCAGTCTGCCTTGCCATCCAATGGAGAGAATCTAACCCCTGAACACGGCTCTCATGAGGACCAAAGCAGGCAAGGTCCATAAGGCTCAAATGCTCAACACAACGCTGGCAGAGAGAAGAGCCCAGCAATGGCTGTCAGGAGGAATGACAGGGTGAATTGTGGTTTTTGCACAGGGTGAAAATCAGTGATCTTCACATCCTGGATCTCACATTAGAAGCGACTTCTGACAGCAGTGCTGAAGTGAAAATCCCCATCACTGCTCATATCAATGTGAAACTGTGAGTATGGCTTAGAATGCAAGGTTTGGGAGATGCAGTAAGCTATGGCCTGTAGGTCTCTAATCTGGAACCAGGCACTTATCTAATTATAAATTTGAGAGTTGAGAAGACATGAATGCATAACACTTTGGCAAAGTTTCCTCCAGCATCATTTTGTCTCCCAAGATTCTCTTTAAAAGCAGTGACCATTATGGGCCATTATATCCCAGACAGTATATAATGAAAGGCCTGTGAAAATTATAGGCAAAATATAATTTCTAAGTATTTTAATTACTTTGAAGATACAAAGAGATAGGGAGATGAAGATACATAGAAGAGTCTTATAAATTAAAGTGCACTATGACTTCACCATTCATTAGTTATGAGATCTTGAGATAGTTAGTAAACTTCTCTATACCGCATTTCCTCATTCTGAAAACAAAGATAATGATAGTATCTTTCTCATGGAATTGCAGTCGAGATTAAATGGATTAATCCAAGGAGAGTACTTTTTTGGAAATACCTAACATAGTATTTTGCTAAAGAAATGCTAAATCTTTTTTTTTAAAAATTTTAATCATCAGTGTGATATTCTATAGAAATTTCGCATAAACCAAACACTCTGGCCAGGAGAACAAAACCTAACGTAAGAATGTAGATTCCATAAAGAATACAGACTATGTTGTCATTGTCCATTTGTTGTTCAGTCACTAAGTCCCGTCCAAATCTTTGAGATCCCAAGGACTGCAGCACGCGAGGCTTCCCTGTCCTTGTCTATAAACATCTCTTATAATGTCCACACAAGAAAGAAACTAAAGTGGGCAATGTGAAGGGACTTCTCCATCTCTGTTCACTATGAATCTATTTTCCTGCAGGCCTGTGTTGGGTGAGATTGTCGACTTGGGCCTCAACTTGGTCCTCCAGTTTAGTGTCAGCGTTGAAACCGATGAAGCGACTGGTGTCTCCCAGGTGGTCGTGGCAGAATGCAAGAATGATCAACACAGCATCGAACTCACCGTGCTGGGCAGGTCAGGTCCACACATCTCAGCAGAGAGGGGATCTTCGAGGAGTTGGGACCCAAAATTTCAACCCTAATCCTTACCTGGGAGGGAGCAGAGTTTGGTAAAAAAGAGGTCAGACTCTGGAGTCAAGTTAGCTTTGCCACTAACTTGTGGTTTTCGTATCAATTTAGCCTCTAGAAGCTTTAGTTTTCACCTCTGTAAATTGAGGATGGTACTAATACCTAACTCATAGCCTCCTCTGTTGGCCAAATGAGAAACTGTGAGTGTTTAGCATACAGCCTGGCACATACTAAGCTCTCAGTAATGATAATACCTATGCTGACTTTCTTTCTCTTGGTTCTTCCCCTTACTGAGACAGAAATGCTGACCTCATCAACCATAACTGGGCATTTCTATATTTCACCTTTCAACTTTGTCTGTTTTTGCTTCATGCTTTTTGAAGCTCTATTGTTAGATGCCTGCACATTTAACATTGTTATGTCTACTTGAAGAACTGGCCCTTCTCATATTACATAATGTCCCTCAGTAATAGTAATAATAATAATAATTCACTGTGTTTCCCTTCTTTCCTCTAGTAGGGAGGGACAAGAGAAGTAGTAAATGCCTACCATGAGCTCTAACTTCAGACTATCCCCAAATCATCCTCTACCCACTGAGAAATTCCCAAAATGACATCTTGAAAACTTAATTCTGTCTATTGAAAGCACTGATCTCTGGTAACCCACCAACACTGTATCTTAAACTGTATGCTTGGAAGAGCATGTTTAGCCCCAAGGAAGAGGGTGGAAGGAGAAAGTCTGATCCTTGTCATGGCTGAGAGGAGAAGTGGTCTGGAACCTGAAGGGTGGGGCAGGTTGTTCTCCCAGGGAAAAACGCTCAGCCATGAGCAGAGGGTCCGTCCATCCTACCTCAGTAAGGGATCTGATCACAGGTTAACTAAAGACCCCCCATAACCAAATATAGGCTCTGCAGCCTACCATCACTTAGAAGACCGAGCTGTAAATCCAAATGCCTGAGCCCTGCTGGACACTGCCTTGCCCAAAGCCCCAGGGAAACCATCCTGCCTTCCAGGTCTCAGTGTCCATATCTGTGAAATGGCATTCCACCCTGCTGCTCTAAACCCTCCAGGGGTTTTTCTCTCCACTTTGGGTGGAGTCCCAGGGCCTCCCAGGGCCATCTAGACTCTACCTGACCTAGACCCACATCTTGCCCTCTCTGCCCCAGAGATGCTAACTTTTACTCTGTGCCTGAGGCAAACTCCTTCCACTCAAGACCTGTACATGAGCTGCTCAGGCACCTAGTACAACTTTGCTGTATCTTTGTCCATGTATGTCTGCTCCTTTAGGGCCTGAAACAAGGTTTCTTTTCCTTTCTCTCATAAGATTCTACTCTCACCCTTCAGAAAACCAGTCACAAATTGTCATTATATATTCAATTGTAGGTTAACTTCATTTTTTCTTTCATTCAAAAATATGTGGAGCATCTGCTCTATGCCAGGCAGCCGCCACTCTGAGCTCTGGAGAATTTACGGGTGACTGAGGGCAAGGAGCTTATTCTCGTGGAGTTTAGTCTCTGGAGGGAAGGGCAGACAGGAGAGCATTCAGTCCAACAGTAACAAGCCCAGAAGGAAAATGTTGGTTGCAGTTATCCCTGGGCAGAACAGCACACCTAACAGAGTGCTATGACACAAAGCCCTCCCATAGGCAATCAGTCGCGAGGGCTGCCCCGAGGAGGTGACAGTTACACTGAGAGCTGAAGATGGGAAGAAGGCAGCCTTGGGATAACGTGTTAATACTGGGTTCACCCAGGATTAAAAGTCTTTTGGGTTTTTCATTACCCTGTTACAGAAAACTCCAAATGAACTTTTAAGCCAAACAAATATTTAGGTGCCACATTAGGAATTGCTTGGGCTTTGTTCATTGCTATGTCCCCAGACAGGTTTGGTTCCAGGCACGTAGTTAATACTCTCTAAATATGTGCTGAAAAACGAATGAATGGATGACTAGATGAATGAATGGATAGAAGAATGAATGGATGGATGACAGAATGGATGGATGCACATAGATGGATGGATGGATGAATGGATTGATGGAAGAATGGACAGATGTATGGATAGAGGAATGGATGGATGGATAATAGAATGGATGGATAGATGAGTTCTCAGGATTGTGGTGAGACTCTCATGAGCTATTGAGAAATGTGAGCTGCTGGTCAACCATGGGGTTCTAACTGATGATTGCCCTGTGTAGAGACTCAAGTCACCTGACTTCAAGGTGCTTCACCATCTTCCGCCCTCTTTCCACTCTCAAGCTCTTTCTCAGCTTGGCTGCTGAGCCAACTTCACGAAGCTTTATCAATTTCCTCTCTTCTCCAGCCACATTGGAGTGCTCCGTCAGGTTGTGAACTTCGCAGTCAACCTTGCAAATGAAGTGTTGTCCCTCGTAACACAATCTGAGGTGAGTTCCCCAATCCTGGGGGTGCAGAGCCAGGCCTGGCGGGGGTGGGGGTGACTTTCCCTAGGTAAATTCTATTCTCTGAGCACCTTTCTTTCTGGGGGGCCAACTTCCCTTGGGGCTGTGAATTGCTACCTGCCCCTCTTCGCTCAGGCTGGCCTGAGGAGAAGGTGAACAGGGGCCCGACATGATTGAAATCACTCGGTCCCACACTTGAACCATTTACCATACTTATGGACTGCCAACAGTACTTATAGATAATATTTTTTTTCGTTCAACACAACTTTAATTCATTTAAGTCCAAAAACTATACATTCCATAGTTTGGATTCATGTGTTTCATATAAAAATACCATAAGTACCATGTGCACAAAATTCCAAAGATTCTACGTTAGTCACTCTGGAAGGGGGCTGGGAATCTGGCTTTATTTTAAAAAAATCCTCCATGTTGTTCTGTGATTTACTGAACTTGAGTCATGCTCAAAGTGTGTTCCTCAGACCAGCATCACTGACCTCCCATGGATACTGGTTAGAAATGCAGACTCTTAGGTCCTACCCCAGACCTGGTGCTCAATAATTGCCTTGTAACAACATCCTCCAGGAATTGTAGGCACACAAAACTGTGAAAAACACAAAACCATTTCTCTATAGTTCCCAGAGCCCTATTTAACTCTATAAAGTTTCAGAGTCCAGAGGTCAAGGCTTCTAAGGGTATAGGGTTCTGGAATATTAAAAGTCTAGATTCTTTAAGGTTCTAGGATTCTAATGTTCTGAGGTTTTAGGATTCTAGGGTCCTCTGGATCTCAGTTTGGGCCTTCTAGGTTTCCACGGTTCTAGAATCCTAAGGGTTGGAAGTACTCAGGCCCCAGTACTGAGCATCTCTGTGGGATGGGGGCAGGGTGCTCACAGCGGGTAATAACCAGGCCTCTTCCTTCTCCGTCTCTCCTCTCCCTCCTCACCTCCCAACCTCTTTCCTTCCTTCTCTGTCTCCATTTCTCTCTGTGTGTGCCTCTCTTTCCCTCCTTGTCACCCTCAGCTGTGCCCAGAAGTCCGCAGCCTCCTTGAAAGCCTGAATGCGGACTATGTTAAGAACCGCATCGGTAAGTCACAGCCTGGGAAAGTGGTAAAGGGGCTCCCTCTGCAGCATCACAGCAGGGAGCAGGCCACTCTATGCCTACAGCACCAGCAGGTCTGGTCAGGGGGCCCTGGAAGCTGAGACCCTTTGTCCTGAGCAAGACTAGAGACTGTGTATAGAAGGGTCCCCGCAGACTGAGGGCCTCTGTGGGCCTCTGAGAGCTTCTGCTGCCCTCCTTTGTCAAACTGATAGAACCTGCTGCCGAGAATAATGTGAGAAAGAGGACAGGCCAGATCTGGGTTCAAATCCTGGATCTGCTACTTAACAACTGTGGGGTGGGGGTCAACTGGCTCCACCTCTCTAAGACTCGGTTTCCTCCCAGGGGAAGGATATAACAAACATGGAAGAGCTGATAAGTGGATTTAAAGAAAAAGCAGAAAAAACCTAATATCCAGTAGGCATTGATGATAAACACCATCCCTTCCCTTTGCCCTCTTATGAGGAGCTATGGGTTTACCTCCAGCCCCTGGGGGCTTTCCTCGACATGGGTCTCCGGCATGACTGTGGTTGCTGGGGCTGTGGGGCAACAGAAATGGGGTGAGTGACAGGATCAGGGTCCTGAATGCAGTCCTTCTAGAAAACAGCCACAGGCCCAGTTCTTGGGTGATCGTTCTGTGCTTCCTGTTCACCACTTCACTGGACCCCTGCAACAATCCTGTGGGGGTGGGCAGTGTCATCATGCCCATTTTGCAGGTCATTTAACTGAGGCTCAGAGACAAGGAGTGACATGTGAGTGGTCCCATGCCTGTCAGTCTGACCGTCTGGATGCTGGGAACCACTGGTGTCTGATTTCTATTCAGCTCTCCAGAGCTGGAGGCTGAAAACTGCTACTGATTTCTTCTTTCAGGTGAACTTTGGGAAGCCCAACAGGAACCGTGAAGAGCACAGATGAGGAAAACTGCTGCGATGCCCGCCTGCTGGTGAGGACTGTGCTCAGGGCCATGGGATGAGGGAGGATGAGATTCCCCACAGGGGCCCATGGAGAAGCGGAAACAAGCTTGGCTTCTCTTCTTTCTCTAGTAGCAGACTGAGCCCTGATCTTGGTCATAGACCGAGTCCTGACCCTTAATCACACACCCAGACGGCACTTGATTCTGCTCCCTGACTGAGCCTGGAACAGTCAGGCTGAGCTTTGACTCCAGTCGTTGACTGAGCCTTGACGCTGGTCACATTTAGAACCTGACCTGCATCTCAGTCTGATCCCTGATCCTGATCATACACTGAGCCCTGAACCCTGTCTCCTCTGGGCCCTGATCAGTCTTTTCACATTGGCCATTGTTGCTAAGGTGAGGGGGTGGGAGAGTGAGGGATGAGAAGGGGTCAGTGCCAGGTGCCAGAGAAAGACCCCAAACCACAGGTGCCAGTCCATCCCCAAGCCTGAGAGCCGCAGGGTTGGGGGAAAGTACTCCTGCAGCAGTGTCTGGTGAACTCAATTGCCAGTAGGACCCTGGGGTGTGCATGTCTCATGTTGGGGTCTCCTTTCAGATTGAATCTTGACTGAATCTACGCACAGTCTCCCTCTGGGACAGTCAGTGCTGCCACCATCCATCAGGAAGGACAACTGAGCCCAATCAAAGGACACTTCTCAGATACTCCTCCCCACAGTCAGGGCATCCTGTACGGATCACCCTCCACCCCCAGCAATAAAAAGCCATTTCTGCACCTCCTGTGTGGTCTGTTGCATCCTTCCTTTAGGATTTCAGGGATGGCGAGGGATGGGCAATCAGGGCAGTGGAGAACTGGGTCTGAAGGTGGAAGGGACTTTCAGGATTATCCAGCTGCATTTTATTGTCTTACAAATGGGAACACTGAGGCCCACGATGGGCAAGAAAGCGACTCGAGGTCACAAAGGGACAGCCGCACTCTGCTTCTGCTAACACCACCACCATGATGGAGAGTTGCCTTCACCAGCACACCTGACCTCATGACTTCCTGCAGCACCCTTCTGCCAGGAGACCCTGCTCTTTTCCCCACTGGACAGATTACGAAGCTGAACCTCAAAGAGGACAAGTGACTCATCAAGGTTACAGCATAGCAACTGGTGGGACTAGCTTTAAACCCATGGCTATGGGATCCCTTGCTCAGAGAGGTGACATCCTGGCTCCCATACTCAGCCACCTCTCCCCAGCCCCTGTAGGTCCTGCTCTCCTGCCCTCGGTCTGTTCAGCCCAGGACTGATGGGGTTCCTCTTGTGGCCCTTCTGTCTCCTCAACGTGCAAGCCCTCAGTTTCCTCTTTGCCTTGGGATGAGGAGCAGAGACCCCTTACTCACAGCTGCGTCACCTCTGCAGAGGACTGACCCAGGCTATCACCTCAGGGTCCCCGGGCCTCTCCTTTCCATGAGGGCATCTGACTTTCCTGCCAACAGGCCCAGGGAAGCTTTGCCTGTTTGCTGAGGAGCTGTCTCAGTGATGTGTGCAATTCTGTGAGGGAAGAACTCCTGTTGTCCTCATGGGAGACTCGGGTTAGGCGAGACCAGGGCCACACAGAGGCCTGCACCAGCGGCTGCTTCACTCCAGGGCCTTCTGTCTGATGAAGGTTGCCTCACAGAACCAAGTCATCCAGGAGGCCTTTGAGCCCCTGGGGCTGCTGGGGGCCTTGGACCAGCTCTCCTGAGCTCTCCCAAGAGGACCTCAGTTCAGGCCGTGCCAGGGCTGTTGACAAGGCGGGAGGTGAGAGGTTGGTCAGAGCTGAGCTACACTTGGCCTCTGCCCTTTGTCAGCTGTGTGATCTCAGGCAACTTACTAGAGCCACAGTTATCTCACCTGCCCAGTAGAGTTAACAGCAAAACCTCCCTGTTGCAAGTCTGTAACGATTAAATGAGTCAGTGAGTGGAAAATGCTTAACCAGAGTCTGACACTGGTGAGCACAATATGAATGTCAGCCTCTACACACTCAAATTACTGTCAAACAGTGTTGAGAAATCCCATATTCAATCTTTATACACTGTATCTCACTCAATTATGATTTACACTGAATGATGCAGTGAAGGGAGTTTAGCATAGGTGTGGCAACTGAGTCTCAGAGAGGTGAAGTGACGTCTCCAGGGCCACACAGCTGGTCAGAGGCAAAGCGAGATTTCATGTGAAGTCAGTCTCCTCCAGTTCTGGTTCTTCCCCTGCTGGCCATAGCAAAGGGATGAGAGTTTTCTTCTCTGTCTGTATTTTGTGACAGTCCCAAGTCCCACACGAGTCCACACGGAGGGCGCACGATTCAGGACTTCCCTTGAGCAGTAGCCCCCTTGGGTCAGTGCTGAGCCTTTCTCTGAGCTGTTCCACCACCTGGAACATCATTCCTTCTCTCCCTTCAGCTTTTCATTCCTCCTCAGCCAACCACTCAGCTCAGGAGCTGTCTCCTTGCAAGTGGGGATACTGCTCAACGTCTTGCCAACAAAGAGACCATGTTTTCCAGCTGGTAGGTCTACCCAGGCTACTCTTCATTATAGTCTCATACAGACCCTGGGATAAAACAAATGTCTTGCTCAGAGTCACAAAACAGATTATTAACAGAGCCAAGGCTGGAACCCATGACAGGGTCTCCTTCTCCTTCCTCTAACACCAGGCATGTCCCAGGGTCACACCTCCATGAACACGTGGTGTCACTGGTTGCAGGGACCTTAGATATGACCCGGTCCTGCATTGGGAAACATGCAGAGTGTCCACTCTCTCCTCCTGACCTTATGGCAGACATCACTAATCAAACCTTCCCTCCAGGCCCAGAAGCTTCCTGTGAGGGCATCTTGGCTAAAGCTATATCCAGGCCCTACAATCAATCAGAGTGCTACTTGAGACCACAATTAAACTCCCTAACTTGATCCCAAAAGGGAAACTGAGACAAAATGAGGAATCATCTGTGCCAAAGGGTATCAGCACCCAAGGGTGCCAGAACTTGTGAACATAGGTATCCTGTAGATCCGAGCCCATTCAACCTCATTTAGTCTTTTCTGCACACAAAAATAAGAAATGCAGTTGCAATTGATTAAGCACATTGGCTGCTTAATCTACCGACTAGAGCCTCTCCATAACCATGTGCAGTGGGGTC